TTGCTTTAACTGAAGCAATAAATGAGGCTTTATGGCTTAAGGGGTTATTAGAAGAGTTGGGTATCAAACAAAAGGAAGTTGTAGTACTTTGTGATAGCCAAAGTGCTATACACTTGTCCAAAAATCAAGTGTTTCATGAGAAGACAAAACACATTGATGTGAGGCTGCACTTCATCAGAGATATCGTGTCTAAAGGGAAGTTACAGGTGAAGAAGGTTTCCATTGAGGAAAATGCAGCTGATATGACTACTAAGTCATTACCAGCTTCAAAGTTCTAATACTATTTGAGTTTGTTGACTGTCAAACCAACAGGGCAGAAATGAATCCTTCTGGGAAGAGAATGGAGGTGTCAAGACATGGTTAATCCAGCGTCCAAGGTGGAGATTTGTTAAAAGCATCTGTGGCCGTGGATTAAGGGGTCTTGAGTGGATGACGTGGAGCATTGAGTGTACAAGATTCAATGGAATAGTCTTATTGTTACAAGTGGTCTAGTCGGTGAGCTTAGGTGTATATTACTAAGCGTACAGTGTAAAATTCTTCTAGATTGTAACAGAAAGAAAAGGACTTAGAGAGAGATTGAGAGACTGTGATTTCTGGAGAGAGAAAGTCCAAGAAGAAAGAGTCTGTAATCTTGAAAACGTCTGGAATAAAAGTTTACGTTTTTTCCTTTCCATCTTTCTCTGTGATTGAGCCTTTGTTCTGTGACTGGGTGTTTTATTCAACAAAATCAACTCCCAAATTTGACCTTAAAAAATGAAAATGAATCATATTGCAACGATTTTGACAAATTTAATGGTTAAGTGTCAAAATTTAAAATTTATTTGCTAAGTTATTAAAACACTAAAAGTCTGGGAAGAAGTGCTTAAAAATCCTCAATTTTAAGTATTTTAAATCCATTCTCTTTCTTTCATAAAGCTTTAAAGCACCAAATTTTACCGTAAAAAAATATCAAAGTTGAGAAACATTTGAGAGGAACAAAACGTAGATTAAAGTGTTTCTACTGACGGAGGAAGTAAATAAGTTCCATATGCTTGGTATGGACTCTACACCTGAAATTGCATTATCAACATATCTCATAGCCTAGACGCAGTAGTTTGCTCAATATTCTCATTACCATTTGATGTGACATATGAATTGTTAATTGGTGAGTGTTTAAGACATTATATAAGAAATTGTATTTAATAATAAAATAAGATGACAACTCTTATATCATATTAATTGTTGTACAAGAGTTGAGAATTGAGTTGATATCCTTAGTATTACTCTTTAAATAAAATTGTGAATTTTATTTTTTATTTTTTATTTTTTTTATATCTATATCTTTATGAATGCTTAACAGAAGACGTAAAAAATACCAAATCTGTTTTTCTCTTTTTACTCCAGTGAACAATTAACTCTTATACAAAAATACAATAAAGAACTTCATTTAAGAACTCTTTAGTTGTTAAACAAATTCTCTCGAGTCATATAAATCAAATTCTGAAAAAAAAAAAGTATTTTTTTTTTCTCTTCTATTTGTTTTCCTCGTCAATTAGATTTAGAACTCAAAGATCGTCTTAGAATAAGATGTTCCAAAACTTAAAAATTAAAAATTAAAAAAAAAAACTCCATAAAGTAGTACTTTCTTCATTTCCTATTATCTTTCTTTCTTTTGGTTTATTGTTCGCGTAAAGCGGCGGCACAGGGCACTTCAAACATTTTCAAAGTTCAAACATAAAAAATAATGATAATAATAATCATAATAAAAAATAATAAACTCTTTTAAAAAGCTTATACTATACCAAACAAAGAACTTACCTTCTCAATTTTCAGTTATATTATGTCCATTGCATGAAACAATTAATAAGAAAAATGGTCATGAAGTGGGGCCCCAATGAATATCCAAATATAAGGTGATCGATTAAATAGAAGAAGGGACAAGAAAAAACCAATGGCCGTGAAGGCTTGTGAGTTGTGAGCCCAACAAAGAAACGACATGGGGTCCCTTTCTTGAAAAAGTTTGGACTTGGGGTGAACCATGTGGTGCCCATTATTCCCCTACTATTTGCACTATTTGACATTTGTTCCATTTTCTATTTGCCCGTCCTCTCCTGGACCTTGTTAGCTATTGTCCCTACGACCCCACTGCCACTGTACGTCACCTTCCACTAAAAGCATTTATTTTTGCCCTCTCCTCGTCTGGGTCCCATACTTTTATTGTCATTATTATTTATTTTTTTGGATAATTTACATGATTGGTCTCAAAATTATTTCGTATAAGATATTTTAATTTTGGTAAATTAATCCTTAAAATGGTTGCTTTCTTAGCAATGTTAGTCAAACCAAAAGGCGTTTGTCCAATTTTTTAATAAGCTTACAATGTGGATAACAATTTATCCAATTTAACCGCGTGCATATTAAGAAGCACGTATATGTTGCATCCCAAGATAGCAGATGCCACACGGTTAAATTTTCAATTTAAAATTTAATATAATATGATGGCGCTAAGTCACCAAGACTCAGCCCGTCAACCTGCAACCACAAAGGTTTAACCAAAGGGAAACTAATAGAGTAACACAATCAAACACAAGCTTACAGAAATCTTTTCTAACCTTTTATTAATCTCACAAAAGGAATACACTAGCTTAGGCTTAAACCCTGGATCACACACACACTGTGTCTCAATCGTAGCCTAGCAGTATTTATAGACATCTGTTGTGGTTGACATCCCCAACCACGTAGGTTTGCTGGACCAACCAGGCCCGGCCAAGTGTCCCCTTACTTGGTCAGTTACAACGCCCACTAATTCTCCCAACTTAGTCACATTTGCACACCACGTGGCCCTTTCTCAGTGCACCAAGTAGCCCACATTTGTCCATTTACTGCAACAGTCTGCACCCACAACATGTCTTGACTCAGTCTTAGCGGTTCCTATTTTTATGGCCCTCATGCCACCTGTCTAGCTAGTCCACGGCCCCTCTGAAGCAGGCCTTGGTTAGTTCCGACTTTCATGGTTCATGGGCCACTTTGTCGCCCCACTCTGTACATGGTCCGATCATGGGCGAGAATCTTGCGCGGAGGCTGGGCCACGCTCGCAAGCCGCTTGCGTGTGCGCCAACTGGCCCCCATGATCCGCACATCTAACCAACTCTGTTTATTTCGCGCATTGTCTGAGCATGATGCGCATTGTGACTGATCCGTGTGTTTGTCCGTGCGCTTGCCCCGCACGCTGGCCACACTTGGGAGTGCATTATCTTGCCACACCAACACGTTGATTCTGTCTGACTCAGTCTCGGCCTGCAACATGCCTCATGCCCTTACACTTGTCTTGGGTGATCTCCATTCCCCCTTTGCGGCCCATGGCACCTATGCAAGGGCTTCGGTGTGCCATGGTCGAGTTTTAGCTAATCAACGGGCTAACAACAGATCTATCTTGAGAAACTATTAATATTAAATATTTTAGGGGCTGGGGAGGGTAAATGGAGTTTTGTGATTTTGAAATTATTTTTCTTTGAGTTATGAAATTTGGGGTTAATAATAGGAATTTTGGGTTCTTTTGAAAGTAATACATAATTCATGATATTTTTATTTGTGTTTTTCACAAAAGTATTTTATTAATAAGAGGGTATATTAGGAAATCAAACACAAAATTAGGTCAGCGGACTTATGTTTGGAATTTAGGGCATGTTCTTTTGGAGTGTGACTTGAGTGTAGTTTTTGAGTTGAATTTGAGTTATAACTTGAGTTGAAGTTGTAACTTGAGTTCGTGTTTGGTTGTGTACATTTGAGTTATGGTTTCAGATAAGAATCTTTTTTTGAGTTTGTGTTTGAGTGAGTCAAAACTTAAATTTGTATTTAGATAGTATTTTTTTAAAAACTCAATGGTGATGAAAAATTTTAATAGGGTATATGGGTGGGGTTTTATTTGTCTTTTCGTTGTCAACGCATAGAAAAAAAAATCATCTCAATCAAGATTAAAACGAAAAAGTTATAGCATTTTTAAGAATAGAAAAAATATTGTTCATTAATTTGAGTTCAAGTTTCTGAACTAAGTTGAAGGAGACACTTGAACTCGAGTTTTAGTCCCAAATTCAAGTTCAAACTTAAAAGAACATGAACTTGAATAAAGTTGAAACTCGAGTTATATTTTTTTGAGTTTTTTAGGTAGCCAAACGCACCCTTAATGTCTACCAGCGATTTGGTCAATATTGAAAAATATTAACAATTCAAGTGTTTTTCCCTTTTTTTTAATTAAAAATTGAGTATCAAAGTTTTACATACTAAGGTCTCGTTTATTTCACCGATTCGAGTTTTCAGTTTTAGGTTTCTACAGTAAAAAACTCTCAAAAAATGTCACATCTAACTTTCTGTGCTACAGTGAAAAGCTCTAAAAAAATGTCACATTTTAACTCGAATTGAAAACTCGAATCCGCGAAGTGAACGAGGCCTAAACAATTCCGGACCAATCGTGCAAGTTACCTTTTTTTTTCCTTTGTTTTCTTCCATTACTTGTACAGTAAAGTTCACATAACTATTTATTTTCATGCTTACACATAACTATTTATGTTCCATGTCTACATTGAATGTCATACAATTCGTTTTATTATTTTGATAGGTACCATTACCAGGCCCATATGGGTCCTTTTATAAAGTGCTTCATTTGTCGTTAGGGAAGAGCAGATTAGTTTCTTGTTGCTTTGAAATTGTTGAGGATGTAAGAGGCAAAGGCAATATATTGAATTGAAAGGAGAAAATTAGCCACAAATTTCTTAATTGGGAAGAAAATTATCATGTACTCTTCCCAATATATATATATATATATATATATATATATATATTGGATAATTCTACTCTTCCCAATTTGGTTGGAAATTTGGTGAAAAAAATAAAATAAAAATCAAGACGCAGCAATATTGTATCTAAATTTTACCACGAGTTTATGACCAAAAGGAAGAAGAAACCAAAATTTCTAAGTCCACTGAAAAGAGAATCTTTTAGCTCAGTAACTTAAAAGCACTGTAACATGAATTGGAAAACAAACTCAGAAATAAGGAGAATTACAACTATATCTACAGTTGTGAAATTATCAAGTGATGAAGCATAAATTGATTGGAATACAAATTCCCAAAATCCCACCCCCAGCAGAGAATCTAGAGTTGGAAGATTCAGAATCCTGATTGGGCTCATTTGTTACTGAGTGAACTCGTTCTAAACCGAGTCGCTGAGCTGAATCATTGCCCAAAAAAACTCCTCTAAAAAAAAAAAAAATGAACAGAAACAAACAAACCTTAACCAACCAACCTCCCATCCCAATCTGTTACAAAATTCATATTTCACAACAAATTAAAGAGGCTAAGACCCTGTTTTCCTAACCTAATTAAAACACCGTCAACCATCGAACCCGGTCTGCCTCCAGACCGCGTCACGAACCCGGCTCATGTCCCGGCCCTTGAGCGTCCGCCCCACGCCCTCGAAAACCGAGTTCGCCGCCGTCTTCCGGCTGTGAGCGTACTCACGCGCCAGGTACTCGTGCGGTGGGACTATCTCCGAGTCGCCGCCGTAATCCCCAAAATCTTCGTCCAACTCAGGCAGCGAGTCGACCGAGTCGACCCGGAGGATCTTGCTCCAGTCCGGAACGTTCACCGGCGCCGACGTGGCCATGTGGCGCCCACCCCGAGGCGATGAAACGCCGTCGTTTCCGCGGAACTGGTGGACGATCCTCGACGACGCCGTTTTGCTCGAGTCAAACGCCAGCGACAGCCCTCCCACGTGGCGGTCATCCCGGTGGATCCGGCCGCGGTTCCTGATCGAGATATTACCACCGTCACCGCCGCTGCAGCCGTTCGTCGCCGCGTGGTCTACACGCTCCGCCGCGTCTTCGACCATCGACCAGATGTCCTCCTCGCCGAGCTCCGCCGATGACTCCGTCCCTGTCCCTGTGGATGTCTCGCTGTGGCCGTACCCGCCGTAGCTTCCGAGCAACCTCTCGCTCCGGCTAGTCGTCAGTTTCCGGCCCTTCGCCATATAACATAATCGGAAAATCGGAATCGGACGACGGAATTTGATTATCAGCAATTTTCCGGCGAATCACCTGGTAATAGAAAATACCAAGAGATCACACGGAAGTTTTACATATGAAATTGTATATAAACAAATTGCTATTGCTATGACTCCATTAACGTTTAGATTAAGGTATTTCTTTTATTACTTTATTTATGCATATGTTTGGGAAGGGAGGGGTGGAGACGTAGTCACGTATATATAGCGTTTCCATTGCCATTGGTCATGACTCGAAACCCACCTCATTAGAATTTCATTTGCATTTGGCGTTCATTTTGTCTGCATTTCATCATCATAAAAACTCCCTAATATCAGATCCGTGGTGAAAATAGAGAACGCCAAGATGGTCACGTAACTGTTAACATAAATATGTGCATTCTAAGCAAAAATAAATAAATATGTGCATTAATAAAAAAAAGAAATAAAAAAATATAAACAAAATTGTGGTTTTTTAGTTGTTTCACGCGCCATGCCGGGTACCTGTAGGCCACATTCGAGCTGTTAGGTCAGAGAGGATTTTGTTTTTTGTTTTTTTGTTTTTTTTGTTTTTTTTGTTTTTTTTTTTTTCATCCCCTTTTTGCCTAAACGACATAAATGATTTTCTTTGTTAGAGTTAATTCATTTTTAGTCTCCAATTAAATATTATTTCAGTTTCTGATTTTTAAGACATTGTAGGACGAGTCTTTGATCTATTAATTTATCTCAAATTATTTTTTTTAACCATCCGACTATTAAAATCTCAATAAAAAAGCACATGATGATTGAGTGAGAGTTAATTTTATATTTTTACATGCAAGGGTATCCTGCTAAGAAAGATACTTTCCTTTTTTTTTTTTTTTTTTTGTTCAGATTTAAACCACTAGATAAAAGAAAGGACAAATTTGAGACAGTTTGATAAATCAACAACTTATTCATGAAAGTTTTAAATGTCCCGGACTAAATGAAATTTAACCTATAATTTAAGGACCACTAAAATGAGTTTTAACTATATTTGCATGCAACTTTGGTTTCAAGTTTTGCACTCAATTACCTCTAAAAACATCAATTAAAAAGAGTGAACCTGCTAGTACTACTTTGTTCCACTCAATTTTCCTTTCATTCTCCCTTCTTTCTTATCAAACAAACCATTATATCACTCTCTATGCAAATAATCTCTCTGCCCTCTTCCTTCTCATTTTCTTCATACCAAACATAGTATTAAATTAATTAGATGACACAACACATATTATTTATTATTTTTCATAATGAGTAAAATGCATCTTTCTAAATTAAACACATATTAAATTGAAATTACTTTTACCATTTTTTCCTCAAGTACTTGAACTTACTAATTACAAAATAGCAATTTACTAGCTAATTGTCACGCATTTAGTAAAAGAATTTTAATACATCACTTGAGATCTCTAATAAGATCATTCTATTTAGTTCTCAATCATTATTCAACCATATGAAAAATTGAGAATGTACCATAATCATTATCCTAATTAAGACCACTAGGAAAATGACCAGCCTCTAATGGTTTATTTGGATATTAGCTATTTCCAAAACTGATTGGCTTGGTTCAATTATTCATTGGGGACTTTTATTTAGTTATATAAATATCGATCTATCATTTTCTCTTATCACTTTAATTAAGGAAAAGAACCCGATAAGATTTGAATTTTGAATTTTAATTTTATTATAGTTAAAAATTTTTATAAAAAATCACATCTAATTTTTTCTATTATTATAAAAAAAATTTAATATAAAATCACAACTAAACTCAAATTAACAGATTCAACATGCCTTAACTCACTTCAGTTTTAACTCACTTCATCCTATCTGGTTTGACCACGTCAGATTGCCTCCAATAGGTCCCACAAGAAACTTGCCACATTTCACGTTTGAAGTGGGCCCCACTTTCCTTTCTCCGTCATGCCACGTGGCAAAACAGTGACCGGCTAAAATTTCGAAAAGAACAAAGGAGAAAAAGTTTGTGACGTGACGAGGATGTTAATGATGCGATGACGACTAATGGATTAGTATTAATTAACCTAAGCATAATTGATGGTTTAGGACGTAACAAGTCTTTAAGCTAATGTTAACCTTAAATAATCCTTTTTCTTGCTAATTAAAAAAAAAAGAAGGGTTAGAAAAGCAGACTCCATAATGGCCACATTGGATGGTGCAGAATAGAATTGGGTGGGGGCGGTGGTGGGTCCCAAGAGTACTTTGTCATTGTGAACTAAAACAAGGTGCCTTTTATCACATTTCAATCATTCATTGTCCAAGATTTTGACAATTGGAAGAGGCCATACTCAAATAAAAAAGGAAAAAAAAGTTTATTAGTTTTTCGACTGTTCAGAAATTGACGGGTAAACTTGAGGACTTTGTAAAAATAACTCAATAGAAAAATTTTATTAGTAAAATAATTTTTTTAAAATTTTTACTTGTAAAATAATCACTTTTTATAAAAAATGATTAGGTGGTCATTCTTCATAAAAAATGAAAAAATGTCATTTTGTTAATTTTATTTTGTTGGATAGTCATTCTAGCATATTCCTCGGTAAACTTACACGAGTTGTTATGCACGTTATTTACAGGTCAATTAGTAAAAGAGCTAATAATGAAAAATTAATGAAAATGGTAGGATTTCGTTGTAAAATATAAAATGATAATCTACTGACAGGAGACAGTTATAAACTCAATTTTTTTATTAAGTTCTATCGTATTATCATTTTTTAAAAAATTTAATATAATTTTATATATGATCTAATAGTTTAAAATTCTATTTTCTAGTTAGTAATGGAGGTTTTAAAATATACTATATTAGAGTTCTCCATAAATAAAAATTATAAAAGGCAGTAAAGTAAAGGTTGCTAAAAGCACGCCAATTTAACAGGCAAGGGCCGCAAGGCACTGTAATTCTGTCATATACGTGGTAATTCTTAACATTAGCGATGCTGAAATCATATTCTTCAAACAAAAAAAACAAAAAAGTCAAATTTAAACAGTACATGGCATTTCTAGGATTAGCACTTTTACAGTATGCTATTTTTGGAGCTTTTTTTTTTCGCTGACGTTGTTTTTGTATGCTTTTGGTGCTCGAAGGAAGAACGGTTATTATTGCGGGCCCCTCTGTTATATATTGGCCTCGTTACACGGGGGTGGGCCCTTTGGGACCCGTGGCTTGCGCCTTGCAGTGACCGGACTTGTATGGGACCCACGGCCTAATTGTTGGGTTTGCCAGGGTTGTGGGCCCTGATCCAACTCTGCCTAAGATTGGACATATCATACCAATCGAGTATCCAATGCTTGGTTAGCATTTCATGCTAACTACACTCAAAATTGCTACACATAAGAACTATTGATGTAATTTTATATAAATCCTCTACGTCCCATAGAATGATAGAAAATTCATAATTGTGATCTTAAAATGAGAATCTTACGATGGCATGTCTTGAATTGAATAATTTAAAATGAAATGTCTTGAATTGAATAATTTAATATGAAGTCTATAAACAATGAAAAAAATAAGATAGTCTATGACATGTGTGAATATAACCATCTAGGATACAAAGTAAAAATAGTTAGATTTTACACTGTTATGTTACAATTCTAATGCACTACCATATGCATAATGTAATCATAGTTATTCCTTTCTACGAAAAAGCTACCAGAATAGAGTTTTTCAAAAAAAAAAAAAATACAGTGAATATTTATATGTCGAGTGTACTATCTTTATAGTCTCGATGTGGCCTAGGTACTGGATCCCAAAATTAATGAGGGAAAAAAAATCCCAAAAATGTTTCAAAGCCAGCAATGCTTTAGGAGCTAATCAGCAAAGACAAATAGATGGCGGCGTACGAATTATAAACTATACAGTATCGTATCGAACCTTGATCACATTTCAAAATAATAATAAAAAGTACCTCAAGTTCTTAACCACCACACCACTTCAATCTCACAAGTACAAATACAAAACCCCAACATGCATGACCCACACAAGGCTTAGTTTGATATTGCTTTTCACATTTAAAATCAGTTTTTATTTGTAACAAAAATTAATTTTAGTATTTGATAAATCTCTTTAAATGTATTTTTTGAATTTTTTTAAAAAAATCTATAGTTAAAATCAGAAGCTGCCCAAAAGTAATTTTAGCTTTTAGATTGTGTGAGAATCAACAAAATATACTTAATAAAACTTTCATAATATCCATAATACCGCTAATAAAATTTAAAATTTACAATATTTCAAATCTAAAATTCAGACTCATAATAACATATAATATAATAATACAATAATATAGTATAATATAATACAATGTAATAGTAATATTGTAACAAATAATATCATAATTATATACATAACTCTAATATTATTATTTTATCATATAATATGATATTATAATAATATTATAATTATTTTAATAATATGATATTATAATTATTATTTTATAATAATATTATATATTATATTGTATTGATATAATTATATTTATTATATTAATAAAAATATGATATTAATAGTATAATATAATATAATCATAATTTTTAACTATTCCTAGCAATTCTCTCATAATTTATTAAACGTTATTACATTGATTTTAGAAGCAACACAACTACTATAATTATAGTTTACCAAACACTCAACTGCTTTTTTTAACAATTATTTTTTCTTTCAGCACTGCTAAAAATAATTTTTTCAAAAATCATAGTTATATAATATGTTATTTAATAATAGTTTTATTGTATTATATTAAATATAATAATAAATATATATTATATGGTAATTATATATATATATATTATATTATAGTATAATATAATATGGTTGTATTTTTTAACTATTTACTGCAATTTAATCTTATAATTTACCAAACGCTATTACATTAATTTTAAAATCAGCACAACTACTATAATTATAGTTTATCAAACACTTAACTATTTTTTATAATGGTTATTTTTTCTTTCAGCACAATTAAAAATAATTTTTTCAAAATTTACAATAATACAAAAGTAAGACAAGATCACCACCCCTTAGTTTTTTTTTTTTTTTTTTTTTTTTTTTTTAACTAAATAATATGACAACTTGGAGAGTACTATCACAACCTTAGAAGCTGATTACGTCATGGAATTAGAGAGCGATTTCCCCATGAGCTCGTTCGAGAGCA